TGCAGTTTCACACAGAAACTCTGTGTTTTTCACAAGATAATGAAGAGACACTCCACCTGCGTTTGACCTCTACAGCCTGCTTACATCCCTGGTTGTCAGTATTCACAGGTCAGCAGCTGTAGTTCAATAAATAGGTTAACCTGATACTAACATAAGTATACTGTATATTTAAACTAATTGGAATTTGTCAACTTTTGCATCATTAAAAGTTGTTGCTGCAAAGTTTACACTACAAATTCAACCTTGTGCAGAGTAACTTTGTAGAAAAGGTTTTATTTGGTCTCCTTACGAAAAGTGAATCTAACGAACTAAATGTGCAACAATCTAAAGACATGTTGTTATAGACTGAGAAGAGCAGAATTCATGATTTAGGGGTTCAGAAGTCACAATTAGTTCAGTATTAATTCTGCAGTAATGATATAATATTCCTGTATTATTATCATCAGATGCTTGATACACATGTTGATCCTTTCACACCAAAGCCGTGTTAAACCCAGTTTGAGAGCAACATCAGGGATGCTGATTTGTTTGGACTGACGGAAAATGTGGGTTTATTCCAGGTTAATGCATTACGATGACCGGGAATGCACTGTAGAGGTATTGTATGTAATACCTCAAGGGGTATTAAATGTGTGGTTATACACTTAGTGAAACTGTGTGAATGTTGTGGATGATTGTCCTATTATGAATGCAAGCTAAAAACAACTTACCACTATATGCAATATAGTAATGAATCATTTTACTGCTGTTTTATTAAGCTCATATTTTTTTAAGCCGGAGGTGAATTTGAATCGACAGGCTAACATTAGCATTGATGTTTTGACCTGAGATGATTAGGGTCAAGGTTTCTGACATTTTCTCATACATATTCATGATCAGGGGGCCTATGGTTAGGTGTGGGTTATAAGAGTCCTGTTAGATCACTTAGAAAGAAAATCCATGAAACAAAAGGAGAAAACTACACATATTCATTGTTTTTTATCAGTTTACATACCAAGGACTATGATATGCAGTACAAACCAACTGTTTTCATTCATTGTTTAATTTAAAAGGCTATTCAGGATTCTCAGGGAAGAATGAATCATCTGGAGCCAGCTTTTCTTTTCCTTCCTGGAACTCTTGTTTTCATGAACTGGCTGGAAACACAAAAAATGCAAAGTCCAGGTACCCTGAGTGTGGTTGTGGCCCAAACATTAGCGAGCAGAGATCAGAGAAATCAGCACTGCACACTCTGGAAAGACCATTCGATGATTGTTGGTTAGAAATGAGTTATCAGCAGGGAAGCTTCAATGACCAATCAAATCAGCTCCTATCATCCCACTAAAAAAGTGGGCGATAGTTTCCTGATGAGCCCTGAGGACAGGCCACATGTGCTTCTTTTATGAGAAAACTGAGGAATACAGAAAAACCTAAATATGCTCTAAAGGATTTCCATGCATAATGATGCAAGCTATTTTAAAAAAGAGGGATGTCTCCACTGTTGTCTGGAGTTTTTGATTACTAAAATTATTAATAAGCAGTCTGCATTTAGTTAGTCATATCATATAATGTTCTGTTTGCTTGTATTTGTGTCCTCGTTCACACCAGCCATTTTTCCTGGGGTTTATATAAAAATATACATGGTGCCAAACCAAATCAAACCACTTACCCGCAAATAATAATGACGATGACACTACAACACACAGCTACACCCACATATATGTGTCACTCTGCACATCATAGCTAAGTCTGGTCAGAGCTCTGAAGCTGAGAACTGGCTTGTTGTTTTCAAGTTAGTGCTGACCTGTGATGTTATCAGTCTGTTGGTAGTGAGGCTGATTGGAGGAGATGTGAAGCTCGGGCTGCTTAGATGCTTGTTTTTTTCTGGGCAACTAGTGATCATGCTTGTATTGGGTTCTGCATATTTTCTGTGGCACTCTTACACAATACACTGACATACCCCTTCTAAACACAACTTACATGTTGTAGCGGTGCCCAGTTTACACTTAAAATCCCTCCAGGATTTCACAGGATTTTTTTTTTTGGGGGGGGGTTGTTGCAGCCTGAAATGCCTGATTTCACAGCATCATTAAAAAATATTGAATGCATGTTTTTAGGCATTTTTTGACATTGAAATTGCAGGAAAGAATTAGCAAAAGTTTTGTATAATTCATTAAAAATCAAAGTCAACTTGTTCCAGTAAGAATGAAATCGTTAGTAGTTTAGCGGCATATGGCTCAACGTTTTGTGTGGGGGACTGCTATGATTGGTGAAACTCACAGGAAACTACAATGATTGGTCAAATTTGTGGAAAAGTTGTGGTGATTGGACAAAATTGCAAGGTTGTGCAGAATTCACAGGGATTGGTTAAATTTGCTTTGCAACAGGAACTGTATAATGGCATGTAGCAGAAAAAGGATGCCTTAAAAACAGTATAATTCAGAAACCAAATAAATAACTTACATTTGGCCCCAAAAGAAGAATAATTAAGTCCCCACAGTGTTACATGACAAGGCGGAATACTGTTGTTTGAATACTGTTTTGCCCCCAAAATACTCTTTGATTTTGCTTTTTATTTTGCAGTCCAAAAAAGCACAAGTGACCCTGAATAGGTTAAATTTGTTATTTGTCAGTCCATAATATGTTCAGCTGATATTCTGTGATGCAAATAGTTCTAACCCTAGACCAAGGGTCTCAAACTCAAATTGGCTTGATGCCACTGGTATTGTCATGTCATAGGAGGGCCAGTTCAACATTCAAATACTACAAGAAAGCACAATATTCTGTAAATATTCCCATTACCAACATCATACCTAACAAAAAAGAAACAGCAGTTTCTATACATTTTTTATATAACATCATCTTATGTCATCTTTGTTGTCAAACAACAAATGAAAGTCCTGAAACCTGCTCTTTTCTCATCAATCCTTTGCACACATTTGTGGGCACCTTTGACCTTTGTTATTATTTAGCACAAAACAAATAATTGTGTTTTTATTTGTATATGAAGGGGTAGTTAAATTTGATATGAAACAACCACAAAAAATAATAAACTTGCAGATGGATTCTGTTATATTTTTGGAGCAGCAGTTTAAGATCTTTGCCCCAGTCTAACCTTCTACGTCTATTTTGAAGTTTTAAGAATAGCTTTGCTAAACCAACGTACCTGTTAATTCCAGTTTATCGGCATTATATACATTTCTTATATTCTTATTCAACTGTTGCACAGGGGTATCTTTGTCTGTTGCTATTCTTCAGTTGTCAGTCTGGTTGAACCATTGTACAATGTTTTGTTCTTCATGTACAAAACATCCAGCAGCAAACATCCAACATCCTGAAAACTGTTAATACAAAATAACATTTGTAAAGAGGGTTTTCTACAATCTAAGAACATAACCATTAAGAAATACTCTATGCATTCAAATTAGGGAAGGAATCCACAAAATACAAATCTGTATCTACACATATAATGCTTCCATTCAATATTTAAGGTCAAATAACCAAATCCATAGCCACAAATAGAATAAATGTTGTGGATTTCCTCCCTAACATGAGATGTTTTCTTTTTTGATTTTCAGTTTGTATTTTTCTAGTTCGTGCTTGTTGGTTTATTCATATGTGGACATTTATATCTCACTGACCTCTCAGGCCAATTGCCCTGATTTAAAACACCTTTACAGTCAGTATGAAGTCAGTTTGCCAGTCAACTGTTTGCTGATGCGTTTATCTCTCCAAGTTCAAGTAAATAATTGCATCAGGGTAATGAGTTTTCCATTTTCTCTTTTGAATGTCTGACTGCGAGCAACTCACAACAAAATGTGTGTATTTTCCCTTATTTTTTTTGTTAGATAAATTGTAAACATAATGCAGATTGGAGAAAAAGTGAAAGGTACAAAAAGGAAATTAACAAAGTCAAACTGCTTGTCATACGTCATTTGCACAAGAACACACTAAGAGCAGTTTTTCTACAAGTGCAGTATGCATACGCCATATTTTGCTGCTACCACATGTGAAAACATTGTATAGACTTCATACCTGTTGTCATTGCAAAGTTCATTACTGTCTAATTGACAGATTGACAGATCCAGTAAAGCAAAAGTGTTTGCACTTGATTGCACATTTTCTGATACTGTATCCATCCATTCCATCCAGTAGTTACTGAATAGGTTCAAAATCAAATAATAGCAAGACAGTTTGTATTTACTTGTACATTATAACAAAGTAATGAGGAATTAAAATTAGAGCTTTCATAGACTAACAGTAATATTGAGTTTGTATGAGTTTTATTTTTTGATGAACAGGTTTGATGCTGTAAGGGTTTGTTGTAGCCAGCAGAGAATATCTTATTAGTGCCACAAATTAAAAGAAGGAAGACGGAGGGTTGTTGCTGTTTGCGTTGATGATGTTTTTGGCTGTCAATGTTCAGGCATATATGCAGAATCAGTACATAGACAGAGGTTAGACTAAACTCTATATATGCCACAGTATAGTCCCTAGACTGACTTGTGGAATTTCTGCTGCTATGGGATCTCTCACATCAAACAATAACAAAGTTTGTCGACGTTGTGAAGTAGTGTTGGATCATGGGAGTTGTTGTCTTCATTGTTAAACAACCACCATTGCATGACTGACATGACTAGGCAAGGTAACATCAAAGTTTTATTCATGTTACATTTAGTCCTGTTTTGTGACTTCCTTCCTCACTCTGCTGTGTTAACTGGAAGTTCTAGCACTAGAGGTAATTAAGAGACGTACCATTAGCTGAATAAAATTACAGATTTATCTGGGTTTGATCATTGTTGGAAACATTTAGGATAATGGACACAACTCAACAAAATATATAACATAGGTCAAGTGTTTATAGACATTTTCATATGGAAATTGAACACAATAAGACATTTAATGAAAATAAAATTCATAAAAATAATGTGTACTATATCTACTACAAATGTAAAGCTGATGACAGAATTGTTGCACAGGGTTTCAGAGATAAACACTTTTTTAAAAAGGGACACACTTACCTCTCAATCTCATCCTCTCTATTCAAGATCTCCATGTGACTGTCCTTGAGTCTCAGATAGGTGAAACCGAGCCTGCGGCAGAAAGCACCATTGTTGGAAATAGAGTGAATGAACTGAATGTGAGTGGAAAACAAAGGCCTGTGTGTGCCGTATTCAACAGTCTGATTGTCACAGGCATTATTCGCGTGCATGTGTGTGTGCGCTCTACCTCTTCATGCCTTCCACCAGTGCCACCTCGTCTGGAGATGAGGAGATGTAGAAGGAAGTGGACTTGCCCTGGTGGATGCCATGCTTGATCCCATCGACCGTCTCCTCCTCCTTCACCTGCACCGTGTGGCACAAACACAGCGCCCGGAAAAACAGCTCCTCGTGCGCCTGTGGTGGGTGGCCAACAAAGTGTTACACTAACACACAAACACCCCCCACACACACACTCAAACTGAGGCTATGCTCACCCTGGCCTCGGGACCCGGTGAAGTGTCGATCATGTCCATACCGGCTGCACCAGGCATCACCTAGTAACAACACAAATTAAATACATTTAACAACAGACGATATGTGGATTTCTAAAATAATGCAATCGCAACTATATATTAAATCCCAGCTTAAGGTCAGAAATAAAGATATAAATAACTAAAAACATCCATCCATCAGATTCGTACCTGTCCGTTACAGATAGCATGAGGCACATAAACGTGTCCGTCCACACAGCACTCTATGAACTCCATGTTATTCTCTGTCAGAGTCCCCGTCTTGTCTGTAAACACATACTCCACCTGAAAAGAGAGCAAGTGTTACCTCAGAATATGTGTGTTTGTGGACACGACTGTATTCATTTCTATTCTCCATTCATAGCAGCCACAGTATTTTCATCTCTAAAAGACTTCTCTGTATGGTACGGTAACATTAGTGGTGTTCTCTGCTACCTGTCCCAGCTCCTCGTTCAGGTCTGACGTGTTGACCACGGCTCTCTCTCCCAGCTCCTCGTCAAAAATCTCATCATCCCACATGATGAAATAAGAGCCGAGGAACTTCTGCATCTCCACGGTGACGTACATGGAGACAGGAATGATGTAGTTGAAAAGAACCATGAAGGCCAAGAAGTCTGTGAACGCCCTGATCACCTGAGGAAGAAGAGGAGGAAGGAGTGTATGAGAAGGTGAAGAAACCTTTTTTTTCCCCTCCAGATTGAGGTACTGTAATTAACAGACTCACAATGTGTCTCTGCCTCTCTGTTTCTGTCCTATCGTTGTACCAGGGCTCGTCTCTGTTGGGGTCCGCCTGCCACACGTATTTCAGCGCCGTGTTGATGAGGGCCTTGCTGATGAGGATGCACAGGTAGACCACCAGGTACGAATTCATTGACCTGCAGGGGGAGATAATGAGAAACATTTTATGTACCAGTGTCAGTGTGGACTGTGGTAGTCTGGGAATAACTGTGAATAAAACTGATTAATGTGTGAACATATATTGTTTAATTAATTAAACAAATTCCACTTTTCCCTCTAACAATAGCACAAATTCTCACTAGTGCTTGTGAAAACTAAATGAACAAATCTTTGTTATTGATACTTCTCAGAGCTGTATGATGTGCCAGGTCTGCACCGATACATACAAACATCCCTAATTCGCTCGCTGCCATTCAGTACTACTGCAAACCCTAATTTCTATAGTTTTAGTAAATAAAGCTAAACACACAATCATTTCAGAAGTCATCAGCTAAATGTAGCTCACAAGTACATATTTTGGAAGAACAATGCAGCATAAATTCATTTAACTTAACTTCTAGCATCCCATATCCCTGTTTGTGGCCTAAAAACTGCAGAACACCTATATGATTCTCACAACGGATTGAGAGAGTAAAAATGCATACAGGTGCAAATTAAACCACGATGCAAGGAAGGTGCAATCATCCAAACTAACTCTGGAGGATGCCTGACGAGCATTTGACCACAGTAGTGCAAAAAAAAGAGTCGGATCCACTGTACTTAGATTAGATACTTGCACAAAGGGAACAGCTGAGACGAGGCTTTTACTCTAAGCCTTATTTGTTTTGGCAAAAGGAAGACAAATACATTTTCAACAACTTAAGCAGGCGCACACTGTTACCAAGTGTAAATGTAATCCACCCACAGTCAGTCATATCTACAGGCCATCTGGATTCAAAACGCATGTCAACGCCAGATGGAAAGAAATCGATCCAGTCAGTGCAGTGAGCCAGAGACACAAGGACTCTCGGTGAATAATGAAGAAACACATAGATACATTGGTAAAAATATGAATGATTAACTGAGCCAGCGTTTGCTGAGAAAGGATGCTGCCAAAGACTGTACAGAAAACGTAGGGATGTCCATGCTAACAGAGAGAGAGACAACTTACTTTTCCACTGCAGACCGTTTCTGAGACTTGGACTGGTAGTTGAGGGCCATCTTGGTTTCCATGCCAGTGTAGATGGCAACCGCTAAAGGGAGGCAGAGATACATTTTGAATATTTTTGACCAGTAGGTTGACAAAACAAAATCAATTTATAAGCTTTTCCCAGAGCTTTCAATCACATCTCTTGGTCTTCAGAGTTTGCTCAGCCATCATGGAGATACATGCAACCTTATACACCATATATGAACAGCTGTTACCATGTGACCATGTGATTAATCATTAATCAGAAATGAATAGTTTGTTTTTTTTCTCGCATATTATCGTGTTGCAGGTGATTTTACCATAGACGAACTCTGTGTTCTTGAGTGTGGCTCCTCGGAGCAGCAGGTTCTCCGATCCCAACGGTCTGAAAACACACAACAGCTCATCTTTAGACCGTTTCACCACTCTTATTGTCAAGATATAATTGCTATATTCTTTTATCTTAAAACACTGAAACCACCTAAAATAAAGTCCTTATTTAAAAACTAAGCCCTTACTGAAGTTCAGGGACAAACCTAACAACACCAAAAAATTAAAGACACATTTTGGATTGTTTTTGAGCAGTGACTGTACTAAAACAACCAAAATTACATTCCTATTTTACTGACTCATCCCTTATTGTTGAATGACCTTTGCAACATTTCTCAGATAAACTGGCTCAGGCTGAGAAGACTATGACTAAATATAATGAAAGTCCTTTGTTGGACTGAGTTTACAGTATTATTTTAAAAAGATTATTGTATTCCTGAGATATGTTTGGTTTACCTAGCCACCGCCTCGTTGTCCATGTAGATGTTGATACGGCCCACAAATCTGTAACGGCAGTAACAGGAAAGAAGTGAGAGGAGACAAGGTTCAGACATTTATTTGAAAAGACTGGTGTTTTTCAGGTGTGTGTGTGTGTGTGTACAGTACGTGTGTTGCACTGACTTGTACAGGTCCGGCTGTGGTTGTTCACATTCTATAGTAGCGTGGATGGAGTCAACCTCCTCCTCTGTGCTGTGAGCTTTAGTGTCCTGAACTGCATAGTAGGTCTGGGAGGGGTGGAGGGAAGAAAAATAGAAGAGAGAATGGATGGGTAAGCAGGTGAGGTAGGAGGATTCATGGAGACAATAAGAAGAACAGGGAGGAAAGGTGGTGTGGTGATGATGATTACATGTTTGAACATTTTGGCTTAAATACAACATACTGTGACATTCTAGCGCAATACCACCTTTGCAATAAAAAAATGGCAGCTTTAACTTAACTTAGAAAGATAAAACTGTCTGTCTTGTACATGAACACACACATACTGTACACACCTTGTGGCTGCTCTCTCCATCCAGACTGGCTGTAGTAACGTAGCAGGTCCCATCATCTCGAGACGTGGACAGAAGGATGAGGTCGCAGGGAAAAGTCTCATTGTCCTTCACCAAGACGACGTCTCCAACCTGAGGCAGACAGATATGGTCCGATTTGTCTAGTTATCCAAATTTTGCTGTTGTTGTCTGTTTTATATGGTCTCTGTATATCGGTCCCTGTCTGTTAATACTACACCCTATTTAGGACATAAAGGAAACACTCACTTTTGGCTCAGCACCTGCCCTCATTTGGCTTGGATGTGCATGCTTACTCCTGTTTTTTTATTTTCCTTTAATTGGAGTAGCATTTCTTTAGTTGAGATCACAAAATGACTGGATGAGGGACAAAAGACTGGATACATTCAGGGTGGAGGAGAAATATAGGTTCACATTATGATTGTTGTTGAAAGGCGATTAAAATGTACTGGCTTTCTGATATAATCGGAATTAAAAACAAACTCCTAGATGTAGAGTCTTTAAGGATGGCATTTCAGTTATCCAGTTAGTATTGCTAATTCAGCTTCTACTAATGCAGTTTGCCTAACAAGCTAACCTTCTGCTTCCCCACCTGTAACCCTCTCAAGATCAGCCAGCAGTCGCAGACATTTGCTCTTTCACAGGACTGTGAATCTGTGAATCTTTTAAAAGATTCTCTGCATCTGACATTTCAGCTACAATTTAACTCTCTGACTGCATTACATAACATACATTAATGTAACAGCCTAAAGCTAAATTGCTCTTGTACACACACACACACACACACACACACACACCACAGACACACACATAGAGCTTAGTACCAGGAAAATCCCTTGGCACGAGCCAATAAAACGAATGTACCACAGATCTGTTCATGTTATACGGGGTGAGAGTGATTTATCTGGTGACACACACGCACGCACGCGCAC